CATTACAAATTATAATGAATATGTAATATGGTGCATATATTTAGCAAAATGCTCCTCTTTAGAGTTAATTTTTCTAGCTGACTAACGAGTTTATGGTCACATATGGTTTTTCTGAGGTAAATGTGACGTTACATGACATTGTTTACAAGCTGTTTTACTGACGTCTTTCCACGGTTGAAACACTGATTGAGCGATTCCATGTGACATGATACGGATATGATAAGTTGTACTCTATCTTTTAACACACTTTCAGACGTTCATTCATGTTTATTTGGCGCTGTAACTGGTATTATTAAGGCGGAAGAGGAGATCATGTGCGCTCCGCGCTGCTGCTTCTCTTGAGCTGAGCCAGAGCGATCTCACGCCACAGCGACAAAACGGTATTTATGTTTTTGAATTTCGTAAGAAAAAGGACGTAATTTGAAATTTGAGACTTTATTTAGTATCAATAGTAACAAAGCACAAAGATTATTGCGATTGATTGGATGGGATGAGCGCTACAATGTTCCATTCATTCATCAAATGAAAACAGGATGACTAATCGATTCTTGAGACTTAAGAATCGATATCGGTTCGTAAAAATAAGAATCGATTAATATCAAGAAATCAATATTTTTTACCCAGCCCTACTATTGAATACATATAGAAATATTAACTAATAAGAACTAAGTCAGTATTTCAATGCTACATGCCATTATTGCTACATGGAAGTTTATCCATGCAACCATTCAATTACTAGTTTGAGCAATGAGTGGCATATGACAACATAATAGACAGTGGTAGATACACCAGTGTTTCCCAAGTTGTCAGGTGTGCTGTGGAAAATGATCCAAAAATTAAGTAAAAATAAATGCTACAAATAAGAATATATCATTACTGTTGGGCCGAAACCTCGTATCTCTATATTTCGTCATTTTTGTTTAATAAAATGAATGCTATAGGTCAGCCTTTATGTCTGTTTCACAAATACAGGTGAATCTCGAAAAATTTGAATATCGTTAATTTATTTCAGTAATTCAACTTAAAAGGTGAAACTAATATATTATATAGACACATTACATGCAAAGTGAGATATTTCACGCCTTTATTTGTTATAATGTTGATGATTATAGATTACAGCTTATGAAAACCCCAAAGTCAAAATTAGAATATTGTGAAAAGGTTTTCATCGCTGTAATCCATAATCATCCAAATTATAACAAATAAAGGCTTGAAATATCTCACTTTGCATGTAATGAGTCTATATAATATATTCGTTTCACCTTTTAATTTGTTGGCACAAATAACAAGAGGTTGTGACTAAACCTTGTAACTCCATTGGCTCCTCAAACTGTCAATCAAATCTCACAACTCCACCAGCCTCTATCGTGAATGAAGTGCAGCACACAGTTTGGAGATCTCCGCTTGTTTGCAATGCAAGGGTGAACAAAAAACTGATATTTGAGTAAGTGCAGCGTTTTCTTTACTCAAGAAACACTGCGTCAATAAAGGCTAAAGCTTTTTGTATTTGCAGAGCGGAGAATAGTCTTAGTCCGGTGTTAAATATCCTGTGCATGATCTTTTGTATCATGAGATTTTGATTATGAGATTTCAAAAACAACTGAGTGCCCATATAGCAACAATAAACGTCATATCCTGTAAGTTGATGGAAACGTAATGTGCACTGATTGCCTCAGACAAAATATCTGTCATTCGCTGGTCAAAAACTCCATTTGAGCTTGATTTGCAGAAAATGTTGATATTATAATGACACACAAAAAGTGTTGCCTAGCAACACCCTAGCAACCACTCAGAACACCCTAGCAACCGCCTAGCAACACCATAGCAACCACCCAGTAAACCCTAGCAACGCCCTAGCAACCACCCAGAATACCCTAGCAACACCGTAGCAACCACCCAGAACACCCTAGCAACCGCCTAGCAACCATCTGAACACATGAAAAAGCCATATCTCAGCACTAGAACATCGTACAGACTTGGGTGTTGGCTCGTATGCAACCCTGTACAACACCCTAGCAACTGAGCGGCGAGTTTTGCCACTGCAAGCACCACTTCACATTTTCTTCTGGAAATGTACATCCTAGAGGTTTCCGCCCGACAGGGACGATATGTAAATATGTTGGTTTATCATCACCAAAATCATAGCTACCTGTATGACCTTATTTAGTTCCTACCTGACTTAAGTTTCACATTAAATGTGAGTACCGGTACTACTTTTAATAAAATATCTAGTTTCAATACGCCATTTGAAGCAATGCAGCTTTGTGCAATTTTGCTTATCAAAACATATACTGTATTTTTATACTGTAAAACCTAAGGCTGCAGGATTTTGGGGGAAAAATATAATTGTGATTAGATTCTGATAAAACGGCGACTGATTTAATAAATAAAATAATCCTGGTTTGATGTGCCTGTTTGTAGGGCTGCAGAATTTGGCCAAAATTTTATAATAATAATAATTTTATTTTTACATTTTACCACTGTAAAATTACAATAGTAATATTTATGGCTGTCATAATTACTTTTTGGTTACCCGTTTATGTTAACTAACCAACTGTGTTTACAACAACACTTCTCTAGACGGACAGTTTGACCATGAAGTGCGCAACCACATTTTTGCAGGGAGCGAAAGCTCCTCATGAAGGAGTGTGTTCATGTGCATGCAGGCACTCAAAACAAGCCTCCTGTCAGTAAGACATTGTGTGGGTACCGATTTGAAACAGAAATACTTGTATCTTTACATCTTTTGACATACTTGTTCCAGCCATTAAAATAAATGCATAACACAGCAAGAGTTGCGCCTGTTCAGCAGTTACTGTGCAGCATCCGTAGAGACCAACTATTAACCTTAGTTCACATGTTAGGGACTAGATCAGGGGTATTCAATTAAACTTCCAGGAGGTCCAGTCTCTAGATCTCCTTCCCAGCGGAGGTCCGGACCAGTTTTTTTTGGAATCGGTATATTTCCATCCATATATATATTTTTTTTATATTATAAAAAAATATATGTTTTAATGAATGATTCAAAGACTTAACTTGTTTCATTACTGGATGAATCAGCGTTTCTGAATTAATCTCTTGATTGAATGATTCAATATCAAATAAATATAAATATTAATATTAATATCAAACCCTCTGAGCCCGAAGAACGTGCCGGCGCGTTCTGCTGGATTTTTTCCTCATGACAGCCTAAACAACTTAAAATACTCCGTAATTTTTGGCCATTCATACAAGTCTTTATACATCTTTATGAACTATAAAGGGTCTTCTTTTATTTGTGTCCACTCACAATGACAACAAATAAATCCTTGTGTTTTTGTAAAATAAAGAAAATAAACAGGGTTCGCTTTCAGCTGTCGCTATATCCGCGAGAAACTTTCTGAAAGAGGTCTGAATAATGAACTGAAACTCAGCGAATACTTATCACACTGACATGAAACGTAGGTCTAAAGAAAGCTTGAAATGTTTAAAACAAATATTCTACTGCAATGTAATCTCAGCTAATTATTGTTAATGTGGTCACACTACTATTCATAAGATAATGTGTTGAGGCGATCTATGCGAAATGATAAATGCCCCCAACAATGCCTTAAATCTTTCTATTTCAGATAAATATTCTTTTGAACTTTCAGTTCATCAAAGAATCCTGAATTTTTTTTTTTACACAACTGTTTTCAACATTGATAATAAAAAAAATGTTTCTTGAGCAGCAAATCATATTAAAATGATTTCTGAAGGATCATGTGACACTGTAGACTGGAGTAATGGTGCTGAAAATTTAGATCACATGAATAAATTGCATTTTAAAATATATTTAAATAGAAAACATTTAAAAATAAACAGTTTTTGCTTTATTTTGGATCAAATAAATGCAGCCTTGGTGAGCCGAAGAGACAAAAAATAAATAAAATAAAATAAAAATTGGTAGTGTTGGTCTAAATTTTTTAAGTAAAGATTTGTTCTTAAGCCAAAACAATACGTTCAATCATTAAGTCTCCTCACATTCATTCTCTACAGTTCCCTCTGTCACATTCCTCATTGATATTCCAGCAACGCCTCCTTTTACAGTCCTGTTCCCCATGTACATACTACGTACTTATTATAGTAATTACAATTACTGGGTAATAACTAGGTACTAACCCTAAACCTACCCCTAACCCATGTACTTACCTTATATTAGCCAGTACTTTCTAGGTAAGTACACTGTAAGTACACGTAAGTACTGTACTGTAAAAGGAAGCGTTACCAATATTCCCAGGGGAGGGTCTTTGTCTCTTCAGGTGTGAATCACAGCATTATTCATGATGTTTCACGCCTCCCCGCATATCAGCCACTCTGACAATTAAGTGTCTTACAAAAGTTAAAAGACTATATTGTTTTGTATGAAGGAGTGATCGGGATGGTTTTAAAAAACTCTAGACAACAAGATCCAGTTTTAAAAAGCCTTGTGAACAAATGTTTACTATGTGTTATATGGCCTTATTTCAGTGACTTAAATTTTTTGTTTTTTAATAAACCACGCATAAATGTTATTTTCGGTCTTAAAGTGACAGCAGCCTAATATTCCTGATGTTGTCTGTGTTATTAATATTAATAAAAAAACATCCTCATCATCTACTATATATTCGAGAGAAAAGTAGATAGTGAGGAGAGTAGTCAGGAGGAAAGTGATTTTTTCAGGATTTTTTCAGGAGAAAACAGGTTTTTTAGTTTGAATAAATCCTTTATTATAACAAACTTGAAACCGTTTGTTTGTTTTACTCAAATTTCAAAATTCAATAATCAAATTTCAATAATCAAAAGCATGTCAATCAATTTAATAACTGATTGTGGGGTTAGATTAACAACTTATTTCTATTATTAAAGATTTATTAAACGTTTAAAGAATACTAGAGTCCTATGAAATTTTTGTCAGTAATACTTATCTGTGGATTTGAAAAGTAAAAACAAATGTGTGTGTATATAGTCACGTATATACGCGTTATTAAAAACACACGTACCTCGTTCTCTTTACTCTCATACTTCGAGGCGTTCTTTCCTTGACTTTTCCTCCTGAGCTTCTTCAGGTCTGACTGCGATCTCTCCAGCGAGTCCTGCTTCATCTTGTGTTCGGTCTGGTATCTCTTGAATGTGGCCTGTGGGCAGACAGTGTTCGATCAGTGTACGCTCAGGGACAGGGAAACGTGTCCGCACACGCATGGCGTGTCAGCGCAAAGATGAGTTTGATTGACTTCTGCTCTAGATGCAGACAGAAAACAAATAGTGTGACATGAGCCGGTCTGATTTTCATTCCCATCTCGAAAGAAAATACAGTTTTAAGGCACATTTCCCGAGTATCCGCAGATTATCATATGTGGACACCAGCACTGGGAATGTGACAAAGTGTGACAGTAGCCAATCAAGCTTTTCCTGTTACCAGCAGAGGTGGGTAGAGTATCCAAAAACTGTACTCAAGTAAAAGTACAAGTACTTATAGAAATATTTACTCAAAGTAAAAGTAAAAGTAATAATCTTAAAAGTTACTTGAGTAAGAGTAAAAAAGTATCCAATGAAAAAACTACTCAAGTAGTTAGTTACTAGTTACTTTACACATAGGCATATATATATATATATATATATATATACTGTATATGTAACATGATATTATTTAGATTTTTTTTTTCATTTAAATGACTATTATTATCATAATTAGATAAGCTATCTTTGCAACAAAAACAGAAGAGACAAACATTATTTCTGTATATCTATAGCCTGAAAACCATTGGCTGTCCTTTGGTTTGTATAATAGTATAGTAACTTATACAACTACATTTGGATTATTAGACAATGTCGGAATAAAGTGACTCTATGGAGTTTTGCATTCAAGGGATGGGAACCATTGACAGATTAGAAAGTGTTAAAACTCTTCACATGTGCCCGCAGTCATGTCATGCCCAACATAAACAACGATCAAATACACGGATCTTCTTCTGTCTGTTCTCCAAAATGTATTTAAATGTAGGCTATATTTATGAAAGCATCTTTAAACTGGTTAACTGAGTCTAATAAGGCAGGCAAAGGCATTCGTTTTCAAGTCGAGTTCGCACGCCACTGCGCAATACCGACACTACAACACCGAGAATACATTGTGTGTGTACACACATTCATAAACTGGACGATGATAGCTTATTTAATGTATAAAGTAATGTATATGTCCAAAAAAAGGGTAATGCCATACTTTGTAGTAGTGCTATATGGCGTAATAATGTGTTTGGTTGTAAAATGTATTACCTGAATGAAATCGAATGTATCGTCGTGTGGAATAATTCATTCACAGACAGCTTACGAAGTATACGAAGATGTTCAAGTTCAACTAATAAAGATCTTCATCGCTGGCAAAAAATATGATGCATTTGCAGATTTACTTTCTAGACTGTATGTAGACTATGGACCGCCACACAATGTTCTTGATGTTCTTAAATCTTCCTGTTACGACTCCGAGACGATTCAGTGCGTGCAGGAAACTGAACAGATCATTCAAACTGATTCGCGAACCGATTTAGACAGATCTGCCCAACTTGTTTGATGAAGTCTTTGAACAGAATCGACTCAAAAGAGTGATTCATTTGTGAATTGAGCATCGCTCATGCCCAGAAAAAAGAGAGAGCGCGCGCTTAGAATAAACTACGCTTTTAACAACATATTGCATTAAAATAAAGTAACGAGAGGAACGTCGCCAAACGTAACGAAGTAAAAGTACAGTTTTTTCATTAGAAATCTACTCGAGTTAAAGTAAAAGTACCCACAATTAAATCTACTCTTAAAAGTACAAATTTTCCAAAAAAATACTCAAGTAAATGTAACGAAGTAAATGTACTTCGTTACTACCCACCTCTGGTTACCAGCTATGTTTTCCAACTACCAGCATTGTAACATGACACACTATATATCAGTGTTTATTTTTAGGTCACATTGTAATGCACACATAGCCAATAAACAACCTTTACCCTTAAAATACTTTCAATGTAGTTACTTTTTGTCAATATTTCAAGTAGCTTCCCTATCAATGATTAATATGGCAGCTCACCGTCATGTATTTCACATCCATGTCTGTCTTCCTCTCCAACTCTGAAATAACCTCCCGATGAAACCGTCTGAACTGTAGAGAAAGAGAAAGATATGAACGATAATGGTAATGAATGATAATGACTGGGTGTGAGAGTGTGCTGGTGAGAGGCCTACATTGATAAAACACACACACACAAAACTAGAGGTGTGCGATATTGACAAAAAATCATATCTCGATATTTTCTGGGATTTTTCCGATAACGAGAATTAGACGATATTTTGCTGAGTGTGTTTATTGTGCTGGTACTTACCTAATTAAATGTAGCCTATGTATAATTCATTATGTTAAATTATTACAATTAATCAAATTAATTTTAAAAACTTTGCATTTAAATGTAATTTTGGTGATCAAAGATGAGTTTTAAGGGATGAAATTATTGACTACAGGGCGACTTTAACTCTATCATATGATATAAATATAGCCTAAAAGAAAAATACTCAATACAGGGGCATTTTTACTGCATTTTAATAGAGTAAATCACGCAGTGAGAGTGTGCACTCTAAATGTGCACATGCAGATTAACCTAAATCGAAAAGGCAAGATCAAGCAGTGTGTGCGTGGAGTCTAGGCGTGTTTTGGCAAAGTGAGGGACATAGCCTACTCAATAATGTCAGACTGCACATTGTTTAAAAACAACAATTATGATATTATCGCAGACGATATACATCCCACACCCCTAACACACACACACACACAAATAGAAAATGAGGCAACTGGGCGAGTCGGCAGGCAGTTTACTGTTGTTGTATAAGCTAAAGTGCTTACAGAGGAGATGAGTCACAGACAAACAGAGGGATACCCACACACACACACACACACACACACACACATCAACCTAATGAAGGAGGGCGAGAGTGCTGGCATCAACACATCATCATGGCTGCAAGTGCGCCCACCCACCCCTCTCCCTCCTTTCTGCTCCACTAATCTGCTTTTACCCCTCTTTAAAAACAGAATCCACACGCCCAGCGTTAGCCTACACTTCCTGACACGGACACGTCTTCATTAATGCATGTCTTCATTCAGAAAAATGCTTCATTTGTTACGAGGAATCGCTGTTGTGTTTTAGATGCGTCTGCCCTACATTCAAGACTTTCTCCTTTCATCATTGCTTCATTCTTCTACAGGAGTATTTTTAGGTTCTGCTGACTATGTAACATAGTAGATCTGACGTAGAAATGCACCTGCAAATGTCACGGGTCAGGCTGCAACTAACGATTATTGTTCAATCGGTCAATATTTTCCAGATTAATCGATTGATCTAATGATTTTTTTTTTTTTTTTTTTTTTTTTTACAGATTAATCAACTAATCCATCAATTATTTTTCAACCGATTAATCGAACCATACATCAACTGATTATTTTCTGATTAGACGATTAACCCTTAGGTTTAGGGATGCACCGATAATTTTCGGCTGCCGAAGATTATCGGCCGAAAGAGAAAAAAGGCAGAAAATATAAGCCGGAAATATAAGCAGGTTTCACTCTGGCTCAGCATGTTTTGCAATTTCGAAGCGTGTTCTGCTGTGTGTGTATAATAGCTAGATAATAATAGCTTTGTAGGACTACTTTAGTTTATTTTGTCAAAAAAATAAATCTGTTAAATCTGATTCTGCTGGATAGAACTGAATGAAAAATAATATATTGATATTAATACATTGATATTTAATATTATTTTAATATAAGCCTATTTCTGTCCAATTTTTGTGTTTTGAAATAAAAGTGTGCTTACTTTATTGGCTTGAATTTTTTTTTAGGGCTGTCAAACGATTAATCGCATCCAAAATAAAAGTTTGTGTTTACATAATATATGTGTGTGCACTGTGTATAATTATTTTTAATACATAAATACCCACACATTCATGTGTATTTAAGAAATATTTGCATGTATATACTGTATATAGACTGAATGTAGCCTATATATAATGTATATTTTATATAAATATAAACATTTTATATATAAATAACATATTTTTCTTAAATATATACATGCGTGCATTTATATACAAAATAATTATACACAGCACACACACATATATTATGTAAACAGAAACCTTTATTTTGGATGTGATTAATCGTGATTAATCGTTTGACAGCCCTAATTTTTTTAAATTAATTTTTTAATTAAATTATTGAATTTAATTTTATATATATATATTATTTATTTTGTTATTTTAAATTATTTTTTTATATATATTTTTTATAATTGTATTATAAACATTTTCGGTTTTTGCTATTCGGAATGCTATTTCGGTGCATCCCTATTTAGGTTAATTCGCCAATAAATAATAACCATAACTTCTGGCCTCTTCAGTTTTTGGCCAAAAGAGAAATAAAAGGCAGAAAATATATGTCACCCCTCAGTGTTCACTGTTCAGCTCTCAGGTTTCATTCTTGTGCAGCATTTTTTTGTAACTTTGCAAGTGGCTCCACTTCTGAAGATGCACAGCTTTGAAGCGACTCTGGCTGAGCCGGTAAGTCTGTACCGAGACCCAGTTTGCTATTCTCAGTTTGTGAAGCTACCTCTCGTTCACCGCTCCCCGCTATCTGCTCAAAAAGCTCTGATAATAATAGCTTTCTAGGACTATACTTTATTTTGAAAATAACACATAACACTGTTGAATCTGATTCAGTCGCATAGAACTAAATGAAGATTAATATATTGATATTTAATATTATTTTAATATATTTTCTGTCCAATTTTGGTGTTAATTTAAATGAAAAAGGTTATTTTATTTTATTGGCTTGTATTTTTTTTAATTCAGATTCATTAAAAGTATTTAAATCGACATTATCGGTTACCTCGTATCCCCCTAATAATGAGAAATCCTCATAAAGCACATCTGTCAGGCTCACAACCATCAGTGTTGGCCGATAAAAGTAATTATCAGTGCGACAGGACATTAGTATAAAAGCAGCCAATGATCAGAGCCCTGTCAATCAATATGGGAAAGGGCGTCAGACGCTTGAAATCTCAAGAAGGGAAGAAAATGTCTCCATCTTGGGTGAATATGACAGCAGATTTGTAATTCGGAGCATGGAAAACAAAGCGTATTCAAATTTTCAATAAATTACACACAAAGCAGCAATGCAACAATATCAGAACGCACCCATCCCGTTATAATCACTGAAGCCGTCACTGCAGATTAAGTTTCACACAACAGTTTGAGTCCCTGTGGTTCACAGACTTTTGGACTCTCACGAATGCCCCCGGTAAAATCAGTCAAGCTGACTACACTAGACAGTCTATAATGGGTTTAGTTTTGTCGCATCACTTGCAGTAAGCAGTGCACTGAACGCATTTGTGGTTTACATTTGTCAGATACCAATGAATATTTCAGCTGGTCTTATTTATTAATGAGAATCTGAGTTATAAATCACTTTAAGTGAGCTAAATAAATGATGTAATGTTATGGAGAATAGATAGCCTGGATGCCAGCCGAACTTAGCCTCGCCCGCAACATTTGAGGATGGGAAGTTCGGTCTGGACTTGATCCGTTGTGGAGCAACTATGCTCAAACTAGAGCTGTTCGGACCAATCAAATTGTCAGGGCGGGCTTTATACGATGATGGACAGATGATAAATTCATTGTTATTTGATGGAAAAGAACGACCAGCACATCATTCAAAATGTCTCCTTTTGTTTTACATGGAAGAAGGTCTTGAATGGCATGATGGTTAGTAAATGACGTTTCAATAATTTAAACTTTAATGTAACCCTAATTGAGATGCTCATTCAAACCCTCATTGTGTTTGTGCCAAAAAAAAAAAAAACTATTTTCATTTAATTATAACAGTCATTCAACAAAGTGGGCGCTATCACAAGGGCCTCAACTAATACTTGTGTTCTTATATCTGAATAAAAGCCTAAATGAAATCTGATCATCACATAAATTTGACCATTTCTCTTCAGAAGACTTGGATTAGACCACTCAGATTTTAAATTTTGGTTTGGTGGACTTGGTTGGACGGATGGTTTGGAACGGCACGGGGGAAAGAGAAATTGATGACAATTTAATTTTTGGATGAACTAACACTTTAAGTCATACTATGTAGCCTGACTACAGTAGTCAACATTTGAAGTGGATCAAAAAAGTTAATCAAAGTTGTACAAGAACGGGTTTTGTTCAAAATTCATGTATAACTTTGATGAAAGGTTTTGATCCACTTCAAATGTCGACTACTGTACTTTAAATCATGTTAGTGTAATAGTATTTATGCATATTAACATACATTTTAGCCCTTAGTGTGAACACTCCCATCGAATTAGTAGATTTATAATGTCAGTTACATTAGTAACAACAAACCGAATGTTAGGAATGGTATCAGAATCGCCACCAAGCTAATTCTTTGTCAGGTATTTATGAATGTTAAACACGGCCTGTCTTCTGTTGTGTGGCCTGTTTTTGAGCCGCAGGTTGCAGTCAGCAGTTGCTCGTCCGTGTCATCATCAGGCGCTGGGCTCAGGTGCATCAACAGGCATGTTTAAACCTGCTCTGATGAAAAAAAATAAAACTACAAATCTAACACGCAGTAGGTGTGTCCACTCGTTCCTGGAGTTTACACAAATATGACTGCCTGCACGTCAACAGGAATGAGTCCACGAAGTTTATGGGAAATGGGATGTTTGATATGAGGCTAAATTGCAGATGGCAATCGTTTGTTTGGGTGAGTCCGAGCATGTGTTCGGTCAGCCAAGAATGTGTTTGCAGACACGCACTTAACAGGACACACTCACGTTCTCCTCCAGTTCTACATTGACTTTCCGGTGGACGTCTGAGATCTCCATCAGGACGACCCCTAAGGAGAGAGAAAAACACTTATCAGCCTCTCCAACACCAACACAAAGGCCATTAACACATCCATTGTTTTTTAATATAATAATCCTTAGTATTCCCCAGTCTAATAAACCCCCTCAGCCTTGTTTTCCAAGAACAGTCCCTCCCTCGGAGCAGCTACTGTAATTAAAACACGCTGTGCCGGCACGGATATTTCTCCCAGCGTGCTCTTTCCCGCTGTAATCAAATGGGGATTAAAATGCAAAACCTACGGCATAAATCAGAGCATTTTATATAAAGGATTCACCCACCACACACTCACTCAACACTTATTTGAGAGGCAATTCTTAAGCATCCTTAAGAAATGGATTTGATGGTCGGACAGAGCGACAGACAGCGAGCTCTTGCTCGGCTCTAGTGAGAGGAGATTTTATCCCTGCCCTAGGGACTGATGCGTGTACATGTGGAAGAAGAAAAAACGAGTGTTTTCCATAGAAACAACAATACAGTCTCTCTCTTCCGTCACATGACTTCTTGGGTCAATCTCCCACAGTACTAAACACAACATGTTAACTATAATCAGACAAAATAACACGAGCTGAGAATGCAGTGAATTTATATCTATAATACATCTATAACCTCGTCGCAGACAAATTTATGGTCTTTAAAATTGTCAAACAAATAGAGAACTATGGATTATTAATGTACATGATGTGAAGCTTGGGTCTGATAAGCTGATAAATACATTCATGCTATGGCTGATATTAAAGGAATAGTTTAAAAAAAATCCAAAAACAAAAATGGAAGCTCAATGGGTTTGCTTGGCGCACAAGGCCCAATGAGTTTTGTTCTCGCAAGTGAGCTTCCAGAAGAACCAATAAGGTTTGTTCTTGAGCGTCAAGCAAGTACGGTTGAGTTTCCAATTGACCATATTTGATGCGTTTACATGAATAAAAGCCAAGATCATGTCTCTTCAGAACAGTTGGATTAAAGTAGACCAAACCATTTTAATCAAGCAGGTTTACAGTCTTTTAAAACTTTTTGCTATGGTTACTCACAGCTGTTGTAGGCAGCGCATTTATTTATTAATTTCGAATGGTAAACAGTCAGTTTCACCAGAACTACTTTACTTGGTGTCCTCTATCACTTTTTAACGGACACCCTGCAGCCAATCAGAATCGAGTATTCACCCAGACCATGGTATAAAGCATATATAGGGGACAGGATACGATTCAGACAGTGTAAATATGCTTTCCATTGGGGCGAATGAAGTCTGGTTTCACGTTAGTGTCACACAAACACCGCAGCGTGAACACAGTCTGCTCCAGAGACACGATCATGAGCGGATCATATGATCGAGTCGCGCAGACCAGAAAACAGATCGGACCCATTTGAATTCGGCACAGAATGCTATACACTTACCTAAAGGATTATTAGGAACACCTGTTCAATTTCTCATTAATGCAATTATCTAATCAACCAATCACATGGCAGTTGCTTCAATGCATTTAGGGGTGTGGTCCTGGTCAAGACAATCTCCTGAACTCCAAACTGAATGTCAGAATGGGAAAGAAAGCAATTTTGAGCGTGGCATGGTTGTTGGTGCCAGACGGGCCGGTCTGAGTATTTCACAATCTGCTCAGTTACTGGGATTTTCACGCACAACCATTTCTAGGGTTTACAAAGAATGGTGTGAAAAGGGAAAAACATCCAGTATGCGGCAGTCCTGTGGGCGAAAATGCCTTGTTGATGCTAGAGGTCAGAGGAGAATGGGCCGAATGATTCAAGCTGATAGAAGAGCAACTTTGACTGAAATAACCACTCGTTACAACCGAGGTATGCAGCAAAGCATTTGTGAAGCCACAACACACACAACCTTGAGGCGGATGGGCTACAACAGCAGAAGACCCCACCGGGTACCACTCATCTCCACTACAAATAGGAAAAAGAGGCTACAATTTGCAAGAGCTCACCAAAATTGGACAGTTGAAGACTGGAAAAATGTTGCCTGGTCTGATGAGTCTCGATTTCTGTTGAGACATTCAGATGGTAGAGTCAGAATTTGGCGTTAACAGAATGAGAACATGGATCCATCATGCCTTGTTACCACTGTGCAGGCTGGTGGTGGTGGTGTAATGGTGTGGGGGATGTTTTCTTGGCACACTTTAGGCCCCTTAGTGCCAATTGGGCATCGTTTAAATGCCACGGCCTACCTGAGCATTGTTTCTGACCATGTCCATCCCTTTATGGCCACCATGTACCCATCGCCTGATGGCTACTTCCAGCAGGATAATGCACCATGTCACAAAGCTCGAATCATTTCAAATTGGTTTCTTGAACATGACAATGAGTTCACTGTACTAAAATGGCCCCCACAGTCACCAGATCTCAACCCAATAGAGCATCTTTGGGATGTGGTGGAACGGGAGCTTCGTGCCCTGGATGTGCATCCCACAAATCTCCATCAACTGCAAGATGGTATCCTATCAATATGAGCCAACATTTCTAAAGAATGCTTTCAGCACCTTGTTGAATCAATGCCACGTAGAATTAAGGCAGTTCTGAAGGCGAAAGGGGGTCAAACACAGTATTAGTATGGTGTTCCTAATAATCCTTTAGGTGAGTGTATTTTAAAGCAATATGGAGATTAAGAGGAGAAACGCTTAGACTCGGCATTAGAAACAGCGCGGGTAGAAGAAAAGATAACGGGTAGAAGAGATGTACCAACATACACACTTTTCAAAATACACATCTTCATGATTATAATCACTGTTTTGCTTTAGCAACAGTTTCATATTAAAACTAAATGGGAATCAATTAAGAGTCTAATAGTTAGACTGTGGCTGTCATAAGCTTTCAAATGCGGATTTGCCGAGCTGTGATATAAACAAAACACTATTGGCTATTTATAAAAGGGGAGGAGCTGCTTGATATGTCCCGCCCTGTCTTTCCGTTTCAGTGGAAATTACGTCAACAAATTGAATAATGCTGTGCGTTTCAACGCACTTCATTGGGCCTTTAATATTCTGAGAGTCTACGAGTTACTATCGCTAAAGCACAGCACACCGTAACATTTGAATCACTCCTTAAGCTAAATAAACTACATAATTCGCAGTAATCGGAAGTCACTAAACAATTAATTGGCCATACCACTGGTTGCCATCAAAAGCTCCAGCTCTAGTCATGTGGTGCTTAACAGACTGTGTCGTGAAACTCAGCCTCTGAGAAAAATCAAAAGTCAAGGTGCGGCCATGTGAATGAGGCGAGGGGAGTGGGGAGAGATCCAGAACATGAAGCCAGTCTTGGTCCAAAGTCACATGAGTCACACAAGGCCACCTGAGAGCAGCAGGTGCCTCGGCTGACCCACTTTAACTTTATCTGCTCTCTGACCCTGATTCAGCCCGGATGTCTTATCAGCTGCCCTCGAGGCATGTGCGTTTGTTTATGCGTGCCTGCGGCAATGCCATAAAAGAAAGATTAGGCCTAGCAAAGTGTAAATCATCCTATACGGAGCCATGTTTCTGGACTTTTACAGGCCCAGTGTCCAGGAAATACAAGCGGTAAGCAGAATTTACTGCTTTCTCATAAACACTGTTATTATTGTCCTACATTAATAATATTAATGTAATGGAAGATTGAGCCAAGGCATAGGCACTCAAAAAGGAGAGATATAGGTTAAAATATCAAATCTGTCAGCATAAATAAAACATATTGATAAAAGGATCCAAAGCAGAGACTGGCCTGCGATTACCTTTGATTTGGCCTGCCATGTCACGTGGAAAAAAACATCCCACCGAAACATCTTCATTTCTAATTTATCTTTAATTTATCGCATTCAATTGTTTTCATATTTTTTGTTTCATTTGTTTTATTTTTGTAATTTAGAGAATATAAGTGCATTTAATAAAAAGGTACATTTTAATATAAATAAAATAGAATTTGAATTTTGAAATACTCAACCAAGCTTGGCCCATCGTAGTAAAAAGTTCGGGCTTCCCTGATTTAAAGCACTGATGTAATCTCAAGAACAAATTTATTGTTATAGCCAATACCAAAACATAATTGCCCTAATAAATACAAAAAGTTGCAGAAAGGCCCTTTTAACCAAGGACTTCTGTGACTTCTGATTAGGGATTTTAAGAAGACTCACAAAGAAAACATATCTAGCCAATATTTAGGAGCTGAGCGTACCCAAACACCTTTAAGCTTCCGGCTTAAAAGTCCTGAGAAAGTTTTACAATTCTCCGACATTTCCATGATCGTGGGAATCCTCGAAAAGGTATAAAAGATGAGTTGACAAATTCAAAATACTCTGCTCGTTATTGTATTGATTCATAGGGGTTCATGAGCTTGTTGGTCAAGCCACCCGAATGTGAATGTTGTAGTAATTGAAGGTGAACGGCAGGGTGAACTGTGGCGGGAGGGGTGGTGTGTTTTCACCCACAGACTTTGATCCTAGCAGCCGTAGGTGCCGCCCAGTCAGACACAGAAACTTCCACTGCGAAGAACAAAAGCTGCAGGCAGACAATGACTGCAGAGTCATAACAGCGACATGACCAGTGCTTTACAGTCGACAGTTATTGTGATACAATAGATCATCCAACGCTTCTGTATTATCAAAGACAACAACAGCAAACATTCCAGCTACAATGAGCATGAAACTGAGAACCGGCGAATCCAAACTCTCGGCCTTCAAGCTCAACGTTTCTAGATGGATTTACACGAGTGACAACTGCTCTCAGTGAGAGACGAGCGCTGGGATAGCAGATCCCATGAGAGGAGAACTTGAGTCACAAGAGGCGGTGGTTTTTCCACAGTTACGGGACGACGTTGCTTAGACTTGCTGTGAAAATAGCGGCAACAGCAGCTTCGTTATATTATTTAATAGTAGTTATGATCACAATAAACAACTCTTGTACCAATAGAGCTCTCAGACCTTTTAAATAATGAATTTCAATGACTTCTCCATGTTCTGTCTAGTCGTTTCTGATCACTGGATTTTTAAAGACTCTCAGTGCAGAT